CAGCAGCATTCCCGTGAGAGTCCCACTGGGATGGGAAGCCTGGCCAAGGAGCCCCAGCTCATCCCCAAAACACACCTGGCCCGACCCACAGCCTCCCTAAAAAATATTTACAAGGCTTTTCAATTACAAAATCCATTTTCTAGCCCAGGATGCTGGTCCTCCTCCCATTCCAGCAGCAAGAAAGAGAGGGAGGGATGCACACAGGGAGCCAGGGGGAAGGATGGTGAGAATGCCAGGCGGCAAGCGCTCTTCTAGTCCACAGGATCTTAACTGTAGTTTATATTCCAGTGGTTATTAAAAATAAAGGGGGAAGTGGGGGGGGAAAGCTAAGAGCAGAGCAAGCTGTTCATTTGGAGCCTTTCCCTGGGGTTTAATAAAGCCCCACTCGCTTCTGTAGTATCATTTTTATGCCATCATAAAGCCGGACCATTTAGCAGGTTTGTGTTACTTCAGCAGTTAGCGCTGCATGAGAAGCGATTCCAGAAGAAGGGAGAGAGGGAAAAGAAAAAAAAAAAAAAGATTAGAAGATGAAAACCTCCAAAAGGAGAGAGGAAAATGAGGTGGGAAGGAGGAAAGGGGATTCCTCACAGCCACACCAGCAGCAGCACTGCAGCACATCAGGGGGATGTGAGTGGGCTCCACCATCCCTGGAAAAAAAAAAAAGATTAAAGATGAAAACCTCCAAAAGGAGAAAGGAAAATGAGGTGGGAAGGAGGAAAGGGGATTCCTCACAGCCACACCAGCAGCAGCACTGCAGCACATCAGGGGGATGTGAGTGGGCTCCACCATCCCTGGGCAGAGCTGGGACAGTGGGGAGATCCCGCTCCAGCCCCGTGGTACTGAAGGGTCAGAGACCCCAGCCCAGCATCCAGAGGGACCCCGTGGGAAAGGGTGTGGGGAATCCCCTCACACCAGGGATCCCGGGGATGTTGCACCTGTGGGGACAGGAGAGCCAGCCTGTGTAGAGCAGTGTGGAGCTGGAGCAGAGGGGTTCCCCGAGGTGAAGGAGCCAGCAGCTCCTGGGGCTGACCGGGCTCTCCCAGCCCCTCTGCTCCCAGCCCAGGGCAGCCCAACGGGGAGCGTGGGCTGCTGGAAAAATCTCCTTATATGGCGAGGATGGGATCCGTGAGCGAGCTGAGGCCAGCCAAAGTGCCCCAAGGGGAGCCCTGAGCAGCCAGCCCGCGCTCAGCCGGGGTGCCAGGGCCGTGCCCGCCCCGAGCCGGGCACTACCCACACTGCTAACCCAGCACAAATGGGAGCCAGCCTGAGCGCACCCCAGAGCCAGGTCACCCCGGGGCCAGGTCACCCCACCCTCCCTGTGACTGCCCCTTCCCTGCTGTGCCACCCCAGTGGCAGCACCCACGCCCTCGTGGCTCTGGGGCTGCCCTCCGCGAGGGGAGAGCCATCCCCAGCGCTGCCAGGCGCTGCGCTGGAGCCTCTCCAGCCACACTGGGCAAGGCTCCAGAGGCACTGTCCCCATCCAAGAGGGGAAGGGCAGGGGTGGCACCAGGGAGAGAGCACAGAGCCAGGAGCTGCTCCCTGGAAGGATCTCTGGGGTGCCCAGCAGGACCCTTCCCCTCGGCCATAGCTCAGGGGGCCACAGAGCAGCAGGGAGGGGACACAGCCTGGTACCCCAAGTCCCCAAACCCTCGAGCAGCAATGAGAACCCTGACCACACTGCCACTCACACACCATTTCCACACCTTTTTCTGCCTAATTAATTTCTGTTCTGCCCTGCAGGAGGACGGTGGCACTTGGCAGGGGGGTGTCTCTGCATGGCAGCCCCGGCCCCCAAGCCAGGCACGGCCGCCACGCCACCGACCCAGCAATATAAACGAGGAGGAGGCGGAGGGAAGGCTGGGAAATTAAGGTTTTCAGCGCTGTCAGAGCCGCATCAAACAGGCATCCACCAGCTGATGGCTTGATTGTTATATTTTGGATGTCAAACCGGAGCAAGCAGAACCCTTTAAAATGCATCAGCGCCGCTGCCTTTCTGACGGAGGGTGTTGGTTTCCCATTAACAAGAGGAAAGCGTGAGCTGGAGCAGAAAACTTCAAGCGCTTTGGAATTGATAAAATAACAACTCCCTAATTAAGCAGAACTGTCAGTCAGCGGGCACCCGCTGCCCTGCATTGGGAAGCAGCAGCAGCAGCAGCTCCTGGTGCACAAGCCCAACAAGCCAGCTCAGCCCATGGGGGATGCACTTCCCGAGGATCAGCAGCCAGAGCATCCCCACTGTGCTCTATATCACACCCAGACAGGTCCTGGTGCTGGTGCTGGTCCCGAGGCTGGGCATGGCCGAGGTGTTTGGGTTCTGTCCCTCAGCTCGCCTCACCATGAGTGATGTGGCTGCCCCTGCATCCCTGGAAGTGTCCAAAGCCAGGTGGAACGGGGCTTGGAGCACCCTGGGATAGTGGAAGGTGTCCCTGGCCGTGGCAGGGGGTGGAAGGAGATGAGCTTTGCAGTCCCTTCCAACCCAAACCATTCCAAGATTCTATGATTTTATGCAACCATGTAATACAATGCGCAGCCTGGTGGGGAAGGAGAGGCCTGACCCCAAAATGCAACTCCTGTCAACAGCCTTCCCTTTCCAGAGACAACTACCAGCCTGGGGCACACATTCCTGATGGACACAGCAGACACCACAGCCAGCTGCACCTTCAGCATCCCCACTGCCAGCTGAGTGCAGGGAGAGGTATGCCTGTGGGGATCCCTCCACTGCTGGAGCAAGGCAGAGAGGGTTTGGAGAAGTCAAGAGTGGGATTTGAAGAGTTCAAGGCCAGGTTGAACATAGCTCTGAGCAACCTGGTCTAGTGGAAGGTGTCCCTGTTCATGAGATGGTCCTTAAGGTCCCTTCCAACCCAAGCATTCCATGATCCTACAAAGTCCTGCCAAGGCAGCAGCACAGCCAATGCCTGTGGGCACGCTGGGCCCCCCAACCCCACCATCCTGCCCTGTCCAGCACCAAGAGGCTGTGAAGGAGCCAACCAAAGAAGCAGCGAGACCTCCCTCCGACTCTGGCAATGAAAAGCTGAAGCCTTGCCATGCTTCTCCCCAGCCTGAGGCCACAGGGAAAACTGCCCAGCACCCTGGGGGCACCCGGGGGACAGGGCAGGGGACAGCCAAGAGGGTCCACGGGCTGTGGGGAAGGTGTTTAATCCCTGACATGCCAGTGTCTGATGAAACCACCATGCAAAGGGGGTCTCTGCTTCTCACTCGGGCTGTTGCCAGCCCCAGCTGGGCACTGGGCACTTGCAGCACCAGGAGAGGCTCCAGGGCACCCCTGCATGGGCAGGGCACTTCAGGGGACACTCCTCAGCCCAGCTGGGGGGTTCAAATACCAGTGCAAAGCAGGGGGCAAGGGAGGCTGCCAGGAGGGAAGCAGCCCCAGCAGTGCAGCCCAGGCAGCAGAGCCACCTGCCCAGAGCCCAGGCACAGGAGCTCCAAGCCAGAGATGGGCCAGGAAAGGGGAGAGCCCCCCATGATGGGGTGCACACAGGGGAGCCCAGCTGGGCAAGCAGCCCCTGAAAATAACCCTGGTGCCCAACAGCAGCTGGACTCTGAGCCTGCCTCCCCCCTTGCACACCACAAAACGTGAAGCCCCCAGTGACACGTGTGACTGCCTGGGAATCCCTTCACTCCTGATCCCAGTTCTCCCAGCCCCCTGACACAACTCCAGACCCCAGCAGTGCATGTCCCCTGCTGTCCCCAAGGTGTGCAAGCATTGGCAGACCCTTTTTCCCCAGGGATGTGCAGGTCTCAGCCCAGGTGGAGGCTGGAGAGGCCCCACACAGGCACCACCTCCTGCCACCTCCACAGCCCTGACACCCCTCCTGCACCAGGGGGACACCAGCTGCCCCCAGCCCACCATCAGGAGTGGGTGCCAGCCTCCACACAACAGCAGCTCCTGGATACAGGTGCCATATAGTCCAGCCTTCCTGCCCCAAAAGAGCCCAGTTTGCACCCAAGAACAAGCCCCCGAGGAGGGCTGGATCTGGTTACTCCCAGCAGAGCCAGGACACGCGTGCCAGGGCCACAGGCTGGTGTGGGAGCCCCCGGAGCCTGGTAACACACTAATCACACTGGAGGTGACAGGGCTTAGGGGAGGACTTAAAAGAAACTGGCTCCTTTTTACTGACACCATCTGGACACAGCCGATCTCTTCCCCCTTTTCAGTGCAGAGCCAGCCAGAGGGGCAGGGGCCGGGGCGACCCCAGACCCAGCATCCTCTGTGCCCTCGCCGGTGCCATGGATCCCCAGCTCGCAGCGACAGAGCGGGGAATGCTGCCTGCGCCAGGGAATCCGAACGAGCCCACAGTGCCAGGCGAGCACGGAGCCGGGGAATGCCAGCTCGGAGCCGCGGGGACCGTGCGCTGCCTGCCTGGCCCCCGGGAGGGGGACGCGGCCCCGGGGAAGGCGGGGGCTGAGCCGGCGGGGACGCCCTGGGTGCAAGCCAGTCTGGAGACAGCTGCTGGGGACAGCCCGCCCTCCGGCTGGCCTGCCGGCCACGCCACCGGCACGCGGGGACCTGGCACGGCCGGTGCCCCACAGGCAGGGCCAGCAGAGCTGCGGCCGTGGGGCTGTCACTCGCTGTACCCTCGGACTTGGGGCTGTCACTCGCTATACCCCCGGACCTGGGGTCGGCACTCGCTGTACCCCAGGGCTGGCTCAGCCGGGAGAGCCACCCCGCTGCCGGTCGCCACCCCTCGCCCTGACCTCCCTGGGGGACGGCGGCACCGCTCCGACCCCCAGCCCGGGTGAGGCCGGCGGGTGACACAGGGACAAGCTCACCCCGGCTCCAAAACACAACAGCACCAAGCGCCAGCTCTCCCCAAAACTTGACCGAGCCCTTATCACCCCAACCGTGAGAACGGCGGGGATCTCCCCAACCTCCCCGCCAGGACCAAGCTCCGATTGCCCCGGGAGAAACCTCCAAGCTCCGGCACACCTTCGGGAGAGAGGGCAAAGTTGCGCTGGGTTGGGGTCAGGGGGTCAGGTACCTTCCAGCCGGCGGAGCTGTTGCTGTCTCCTTTATCCTTAAAGTAGGGGACGTATCGCACCATCCAGTCGTAGATCTGGGAGAGGGTGAGGCGCTTCTCCGGCGAGCTCTCGATGGCTTTGGTGATGAGGTCGGCGTAGGAGAGGTTGCCCCAGGCGTTGCGCCGGGAGGTCTTGGCCTTGCGGAGCTGCCCCACATCCGCGCCGGGGGGCGGCGGGGGAGCGGCGGAGACTCTGCGCTCCACCGGGGCCGCCGCGTTCTCGGCTCCGTCCCCGCCGGCCGCCAGCGCCGGGGTTCCCCCCGCGCCCCCATCTTCCTCCTCCGCCGCCAAGTCGGGGTGGGGGAGAGGCCAAGTGCAGGAGCGGGGACGGCTCTGCGGCTCGAAATCCGGGTCGATCTCCACCTGATGCGCCTGGAGCTTTTCTTCCATGGTCGCCTCCCCGCTGCCACCCCACAGCCCCCCCCCGGAGTTACGGGCGGTTTCCACCCAAAAAAAACCCCAAACACACAACAAAAAACCCAAAATCTCGAGAGGGAGAGGAGTGCGAAGGCGGGCTCCCTGCCCGGCTGGAGGGGAGAGGGAAGGAGGAGCCGCTCGGTGCGCGGGTCCTGGCGGGGGGAGCCCCGAGTCCGGGGGAGCCCCGGCTCCGGCGGCTCTAGGAGGCGGCTGTGCCCGGCGCCGCGCCGGGAGCGCCGAGCCGGGGCACACGCTGCATGGTCCTCGGCCGCCTCTCCAGTCCGGGCCGAAGCGGGGGAGTGGTTTTTGGTTCGGATTTGGTTTTGGTTTGGTTTTTACCAGCCGCGGAGCTCCAGAGCGGTTCCCGGCTCAGTAGCCAGCGGGGCGGCTGCGGGCGGGCAGGGCGCGGGGGCGGCCGCATCCATCGGGCTGGCGGCGCGCTCCGGCAGCAACAGATGAACCGGAGGGAGCGGCGGCGGGCGGCATCCTCTGCCGGGGACCGGCGGGCTCCGGGGCCGGGCGGCGGGGCACCTAAGCGGGGAGAAGCGGGACGGAGATAGTGGGGAGCCCTCGGCGCGGCGGGCGCAGTCTCCCGCGGGCGGCCCGGCGCTAGGTCCGGCGGCGCGGCGGAGACATGCTGGCGGGCGGCACGCACCTGACAGCGCCGGCGAGGGCGGCGGCGGGCGGCTCCCGCCCCTACGCCCCCCCGCTCCGCTTCAGCGGCCGCGCACCTGCCCCCGCCCGGCCCAGCCGCGGCCCCACGTGCGCCCCGGGCGCCCCCCATTGTTGCCCCGGGCCGCCGCCGCCGCCTGATTGGCTGGAGGGTCTCGGCGGCCACGCCCCCCCTCCCGCTGATTGGATGGGCGCCGGCGGGACGCTCCGCGCGCGGGGGGGATGAATGGGGGGAACTGCCCCGCCCCGTGGGTGACGTCACGAGAGCCGGCTGCATCCGCACGTCACCCCGGGCAACGCGGCCGCGCGGCGGGACACGCCCCTTTACTACGGACCACGCCCCCACCTGCCTCGGCCACGCCCCCGCAGCGCGGCCGGGGAGACCCCGAGTGGGCCCCGCCCACCGCCGCGCAGCCACGCCCCTCGACGGGGACACGCCTACTTTATGCGAGACACGCCCCCCGCTCACGTTGGGGGCGATCCCGATCCCATCCCGGTCCCGATCCCATCCCGATCCCATCCCATCCCGATCCCCGTCTCCTCGGGCCTGTCCTGCCGCAGCCCGCGGGCCCATCAGCCGGGTGCCTTCTCGGTGCTGTCCCCACCGGCATGCGGTGCCCCAGGGCCGGACCCACCTGGCATGGCAGGACAGCGCTATTTCCTCCGGCCGCACACAGCCCGGCAGCCACGAGGGTGCAGACCCCTCGTCGTGCACCCACCCAGCACCCACTGGGGACACTCGCCTGACCCCTGGCCCCTGCATGACCCCACTGCCTGCACCCCAACATCTCCCTCCTCTCGCATCCCCTGGGGACACTGCGCGCACTGGGGACAGCGCTGTCTGCAGCAGCCCTGAGCCCCCCACCTCCGTCCCTTCCCCACACCTCCGGGACCCTCCTGCCTCACGCTCTGCCTGCCCCACTGCAGACCTGTCCCTGCCCACCAGCCACGCCTGGGTAACGCTGTCACTGAGCTCCCTGCATCCTCCTGCTCTTTGTCACCCTCGGTGCCACCAGTTGTTCCTGTAACAGCTCTTTCACGCCACAGTCACGTGCAGCCCTGCTCCTGCAGCCCCATTCCTGGCCCAAAGGGACGGCCTGAGGTTACCCAAGCAACTAAGGAGCTGATGGTTCCAGCCTGGAAGTGCTCGGCCTGACAGCTCTAATAATATAATAAAGTATAATATAATCTAATAGATACAATATAATGTAATAAATATAATACAATATACAGGCGGGACTTGACAAGTGCTCTGTTTCACAACCCACAGTGACAGTGACGGCTGCACAGGCTCCAGCTGGCCCTGGAGGCACATCCCAGCAGCTGGGGGCTTGGGGGGCTGTGTTCCCTGACCCCCTGCCAGGCAGCTGGGGACCTGCTGGCCAAGCCCCACAGCTCCTGGTGTCACTGGTCCGGGGAGACTCAGCCAGGCTGGCACCAGAGCAGCCCTCAGGAGAGACCTGACCCCAAATCCCCTGATCCTGAGTGGTGCCCTGCGCCTCCCTCCTCCCCAGAGCATTTTTCCGGGGATCTCTCCCAAATTTCCCTCGCTGTGGTTTACACCCCTGGCCTCCTTCCTGTGCCCCAGGGCCCGCTGTTCCCTCCTCTCTCCGCAGCCTTTTGCCCACTTGGAGCCAGGGATGTTTTTTTCCTCAGTCTTGCCTTTCTTAGTCAAAACCCTCCCACATTTCTCACTCTCTCCCAGCCTTGTTTTCCCAGCCCAGCTCCCCAGGGCTGAGCCGAGCAGAAGGTCCCAGCCTGCAGAGCCCTTCCCGTGGGTGCCTCTCCTCCTGGTGCTGCTCCATTCCTCCCACTGCACTTTTCCTGCAGCAGGTGCCTCTCCCTGCCCTCACCCTCAGCCACCTCAGCCTTGGGGATGGTGCTCAGAGCTCCCTGCCCACGCTGCCAGCTCACCCTGGAGCTTTAGCAGCTCCCAATGCTGCAGAAACACACTGCTCTCGCTCACCTGCTGCCTCAGTTTCCCCACCTGTGCAGCAGGACCGGCCCCTCCAGGCAGGCATGGCTGCTGGTGGGGAAGGTGACAGGTTGGACAGCTTTGTGGCTCCTCTCAACCAAAGCTGCTCCCCTCCCATCCCATCCCTGGCTTGCCCAAGGCTCATCCCTGACCTCCTCACCCATCCCCGTGGATGCAGAGCAGCACATTCCTGGGTGCAGGTGGCCCCATTCCTGCGTGCAAGGCACACCCAGCTCTGGGATGCCCGCAGGGGGATGGTGAATGCTCTGCCCCCGGCAGAAACACGGGGCTGGCTCAGCCCCCCTTCCCGAGCACCTGGATAATTATCACTCGCCCTCCTGGCAGCAGGCAGCAGCACCTCCATCACCCTTCGAGCTGCAGCCCCGCTGCTCAGCCACCCCCCGTGGGCACACACAGGACAGGGGGCAGAGCTGAGGGGCACCAAGCTGCCACCTCTGTCCCCCACACCCAGGGTCCCCCTGGTCCCAGCTGCCAGGTACCCGCTGGGGAAGCTGGGGCTCTGTGGGGTAACGCCTGGAATTTCAGGGATCTTTCCCTCCTACACCTCTCACCTGCTGCTCCAGCCCTGCTTTTCCAGGGGCTGGGATGGGCACAGAGGGCCAGGGGAAAGGGCAGAGCAGTGCAACCCCAACACTCAGTGCAGCAGCAGTGCAGGAGCTGATGGGCAGTTGATGCTGCAGGGTCTGGGTGCACAAATCTCCAGTTCCTTGGGAATGGTCACAGTCCCAGGCCTGACAGAGCTCAGACTGAGCCCCCCTCCCCCAGCACCTCTGGACAGAGCCAAGGCTTGGTGTCCTCACCTGGTGCTGGTGTCACCTCCCACCCCACCCCACCAGGCCAGCAGGATCTCCATCTCATTCCCACAACATCCCGTGCATCCCTCTATCCTTCCCAGCCCCTAGACCGGCACCTGGGGGCTGTCCTGAAGCCCCCATCCCCTTCACCATCCCAGCAGCTCTGGGGTCCGGGGCAGAACCCCAAGAAGCAGCAGAGGTGCCTGTTGGGAGGGGGGGAAGCACCAAGACAGCCCCAGCAGCGTGAGAGGAGCCTGCTCTGCTCTGGGAGGCAGAGCCACACGTGCAGCACATCCTGTGAAATGAAAATTGCTCCAAATGCTAATTGGGGCTGTAGAAACACCACGTGTGATGCTCCCTCCCTGGGACGTGGTGGCGCGAGGGGATCTCAGGCGGTGCCTATTAGAAATACTCCCATGGAACATAAAGTGGAAGTTAAGTGAAGGAAATGATAAAGTCAAAATGAAATATTTTTACTTTCCTGAAATGAACTTCGTGTTTTGACATGAGCAGAATAAACATTTTGACACTGCTGAAACAAGAAAGTCAAAGTGATTCTGCGAGGCTTCTTCCCGGGAAAATGGCAGCGAGATCGACAAGTTCCCAGGGAAAGATGTGATTCCAATAAACCCCTGTTTTCTGGTGGAAAACCAGTCCAGGGAGTCCTTCAGCCCTGTCCAGAGAACAGGTTTCCAGGTGAGACCAGAACCTGTCTGGCTCCCCTGAACAGTAGCAGGGAAGGCAGTCTGCCTTTATTTTTATTATTATTAAATTATTGTTTTATTTTGATATTATTATATTAATAAAGGGAGGGATGGGGTGGGATGGAGACACCTCGGGGTTGGATTCTCCACCATCACATGCGGACTGATGCTGAACCCTCAGTCCATGCACGAGGCACAGGTGTCCAACAGCAGCAGGGTTTGTCCCCTCTTCATGTCCCCCTCTTCAAGGTCACATCGTGTCAAACCAAGGATGTCTCAGTGGGATTAAATTCTCATACTTTTATTTGAAGAAATTTCAAGAGGTTTTTGGGGTTTTTTAGTTGATAACCCAAAGAGTTGCATTTTGAAGGGCTGGGGTTTTGCTGAAAACAGATACTTTAGGAATAGTCTCATGTAGCTGATGACTTCATTTTTCATGTGATACCGGTTGGGTGGGAATTTGCTGACCAACCTTTAGCAGAAAATTTCTGACCAACCTTTGGTGCTCACTCCAGGTATTGGGTTTTGCTCCAGAACAGCATTTAGGGGGAAATCTGTTCTTTAATAATAGCAATGCCTAATAATAGTTTTCAATGCTAATTCTTGGCAGCAATTCCATGTGATTAAACATACCTTTGCTGCATAGAAAATGCTGCATGTCATGCAACAAGTTCACTCACCCTCTAACTCCCCTTCTGGCACAGCCACCATGGCCAGGCACAAGGGCAGGGAAATCTGCAGCCCGGCACACTGTCTCCACTCCAACAGGCTGCAGCAGCTCCTCTGGGCTCAGCATCACCCTGGCAGCTCACAGGCACTTGTCACAGCCCCTGTCCCCCCAGGCAGAGCCCCTCAGTAGCCAAGGGAGGACCCCTGGGCAAGAGACTCAGGGGGTATGGTTGATTCCTCACACTGGTGTCCCACAGGTGAGGGCATGAGGCTCAGGTCACCAGCAGAGCCATGCCAATCCCTTTGGGAAGCATTTATCAGCAACTGAGCTCCTTCAGGACCCCCCTCCACTTCCCAGGTCTGTATGGAAGTGTTTCCCCATGTTCCTTGTGCTGCTGACCTGGAGGCAAACCCACCAGCATCATCCACCTCCCGCAGTGCCTGTCACTGGTGACCAAGGACAGGCGAGGGAGGTGACTGGTGACAGAGCAGGAGTGCCTGGGGGAGGTGGTGCTGCTGGTGCCACTGGGGAGGTTGGTGACAAACCTCAGCCCCAGCACTCCTCCAGGCTCTGCACCAGGGTCCCCAACATCCCTGAAGGATGGCATTCAGGTCAGCCCTGAATTTGGAGGATGGATCCCTCAGTCATGGCTTCTGCAATGCTTCAGCCTCCCTTTGCATGTAGAGGCAGAGCCTCCTCTCCAGACTGCATGCTAATGAAGCATCCTGGAATCCCTGCGTGGTCGCTTCCTAGTTAGGCTCATCTGCCTGAGTGAACTGAAAACTGTTAAACACATTGAGTGTGTCAGACCAGATATTATCAGAAATAAGACTACCTTTCGCTGGCACCCACAGCTCTCCGACACACAGCAAAGAGCTATTTAAATCTTTTCCAGCTGTCACCCAT